TATTATACTATAAGTATCTATATAGTATTAGGTAAATTTTTATATATATATAGGGATTATATATATGTAATTTCAGTAAAAAGGGGGGGCGGACGCTATTAACGTAACGGACTGTAGTACTTAAGAGCGCGTCTAAGTTTACAAAAAAGGTAGTTGAGAACGCAACTTCGTGTCGACACTGCGCAATCTTCATTTCATCGCTCATCGTGCATCTGAGATGCCGGCTGCATCCTTGTTCAATAACAAAATCTCGAAATTTGGATATCAAAGAGGATCAAGGGGCGGGCGATTCATCCTTCCATCGACCAAGATGTCTCCAACTTCATGTGGATCCAGACTTGGCCGGCACAGGGCGATCGGTAGGCCGAACGGCTGAGCCCATGTCCGGCGCCGGAACCGAGCACGGGATGGCCCCGATTCCGGACCCGAACTTAGCGGCAGGCGCTGGCAATGAGAAGAGCCTGCTCTATTCAAGAAATCTCATAAAACTTATCGTCATGATGATAGGAGTGGCTGAAAATGCGATTGGTCGTACTCAATGAAACCAAATCACGCACCCCGTCATGGTGGTCTGCTATTCCTTCCTGCCAACGATAGATGCATGGATCTTATAGATTCTTATATACATCCCTCACATCGAATGAAAGGGAATCTAGACAGAAACTTGTGTTAGCAAGACGGTTTCCAAAGAAACCACATTCACGTGCGTGCCACGACACTGACCTCGTGTTACTAACACAAACACAATGGCTGTCTGTTGCCTTTATCAAGCTTTCCCGTACGACGCCAAAACGCCCAAGTTTCTACCACTCTTTCTTGATTTCAGCTCTCCGTCTCGGGTACACGTATCCTAATCTAGAATATGCGTGCCTTGGCTTGGCATACAACAAAAGAAGAACAAACCCCCGCCTTACACCCCGCCACTCGTGGCTTGGTGTTTGAAATGCTACCTACGACGACGTAACGTCCTGGGATCTGCGTCGATTTCTCAGTTGGACATTTCGCCTTAGCCCCTTGCTTCCATTGACTCCCAAATTAGCTTCTATTGTAGCATGTACCCCATAAGTCGGGCGATTAATTATGCAGTTGCTACGAAGAAGACACAAGTTTTGTGGTCTTGGCCTTTGGATCTACTCTTGAATCATGGCATAACGGCATCTATTCGCTGCTCTTTTGTCCGTGTCACCGGTATAAATATCCAGGTTTCCAGCCATGCCCGACTTGCGATCAAGTCGTGCGTTCGTCCGACGTCTACCCAATTAACATCGGAAATGAGCGCGGCCGGTCTTCAAGCAACCCTTTACTGGGCTACCATCACGTCAAAAGGTGTCGCTTTGAAGGGAATCATCTGCTCTTGTATATTATTCTTCATCACCCTTCTCCCTTCGTCAAGACCACCCGATACACAAGCTCAGGCCGCATCCGTCACATTCGACTGGGACCCGTCTGACCCTCCTTTATGGACCATCAGGCCAGAAAAGCGCGCGGCATTTCTACCCAACAAAACCTCCTTCCTCGAAAAGCGTGCCTCAGCTCCGTGCGAAGACAGGGACAAACCTGCTGATCTCTATCGGCAGTACGGGGACACCGACTGCAAGCCCACGCTCGAGTTGCAATCCGACGGTTCGTGTCAAAGTTGGGACAAGGTATATAACGGTAAAGGCACCCAGGTTAAATGTATGAGCTTCTGCCAAATTCGTAAGTCTATTTCCAGGGACGACTTTTGCAATCATTGAAACTATCCAGTAACAGAGGGTTCAATTTGCTAGGCACCTACTTCGAATGGAGTCGCGAGCAGCCTTTTGCCTACACGAAATGCCATTATCCCCTGGCCTGCAACCTCGCCACGAACGATACGGTGCCACTCGGTAATTGGAAGAAGTCCGGATCCAACCTAGACCAGGCTCTAGAGGTTGGAATATCTGGTGGGTACGGATCGAAGAGTGACCTGAAGTTTTATGCGCAGGGCCAAGACTGGTCTCTCGACATGAAAGAGGGCCAGTGCGGTTACTTCACTTTCATTCCTGTTAAGAAAATCACATGGTCAGTCTTTTGAGCGGGCATCTCCAACATTTGTTTAAACTAAAACATGTCTTCTTCCAGCGGAACATTATCTGAGTCCATTTGGAAAACAGGAAAATCCTGCAGCACTTCCAAGAAAGACGGTGCCAACCACAAAACAAATTACTGCGTCGACCAGCTCTGGAACATCAAAGACAAAACCAGCGGCAAGGAGGTCCCAGATGGCATTACTATCTTCGTCCACACGAACTGCAGCACGCGTGAGCCGCTGGCCATGGAGAAGCAGGACCCAGCGTATGCCGCACCCGGCGTGGCCCTTGACAAGGAAGAGATCCAGAAGGTCCAGCAGGATTGGGTCTGGAACTCGTGTAGCTTCACTTGGTTCCAAGATCAGAAGAAGCTCAAGGTGTTTATTCGTGGCGGCGGGTTCCGCGATGACAAGATTGCATCTGACGGAGACAAACTCTTCTCGGCGATTATCAAGTGCAGCGGCGACGCAGGTATTACTGATGCGACATTTTCGTGGTTTTACAACGATTACTACCGGTTCAATACCAAATTCCCTGAGCCTAGGCCGAAGGAAGTGGGTGCGTCCTGGTTTCTTTCGGCGATAGTGCCGGCGAAAACTAGCCCCAAATGTGTCGGGGACGCACTCGTGGGCATGGGAGGCTTCAAGGATCAGTGTGTTGAAGATGAGCATTCTGTCAATGGTAAGAAGGTCTCGGAGTTGTAACATAACCATTGGTAGGCTACCTGACTTTTTATCACAGCCGGTGGCAAATGTCTGAAGTATTCGAAGAATCAGTACTAAGAAATCATCGACGTCGTAGAGATCTTGATAGGAGAAGCCGGGACTGTTTTCAAGATGATATCTATTGCTCATACCGAGCCAACGCCAACGCCAGCCTTGTCCTTTCCAACGCCAGCCTTGTGCCTCCTTTCCAACCCCGTCAATATGTACCCAGCAGACCCCTTTTCCTGTTCTTCAGGCACGACTACATGAAAGATGGACCGACAAGAGGCTGCTTCTCGTGCGCAAAGTATCCAGCCGAGAGATCTTTGTGAGCCAAAATGAAGTCCCCACAGAGGCGAATCTCTTGAAACTCCTTCATGTCCGACACCTCGTGCGTCTTACAAGCCTTGCAGCGTTTGTGACCCTTCCGGCTTCCGTCGCGGCGGTTAAGCTTGAGATGGCTGAGGAGCTGGGCCCGGGCATAGTAGACGGCAACGCTCATGTTGAGGTGGCCCACCCTATCGAGTTCCTTGTGGTCGCGTTTGATGATCGCTTCAATCCTTGCCTGGGTCCATGACAGCTCGGGGAGTAGCGTTGCCACGCTTCGTAGGACCTTTTGGTTCGCGCCGTCGGTCCATTTGTACGTAATCTGCTGTGTGATGAAGTTGGGGACAGGCTGGAGCCAGACTGTCGCGCCTTGAAGCCTATTGGGAGGCATCGGGGCATTGCTTGGATTCTTGGTCTTCACGGGCGCGTCTTGTTTGAGAGTTGCAACTGGGGTGCCGCTGTCCTCTCGCGGACGGAAGTGGGGTAGGGGGTTGTGGGCGGAGGGGCAGGTTGTCCAACGTTGGAAGACGGCGTCCCAGAAGGCTTTGCGAGTTACGTCGTCAAGGGCCTTGCCAGTTCGGTTGAGAGTCAGAAGGTGATTGAGGATGGGGTCGCAGCTGCGCTTTTCGTGATCGGTAAGGTCGTCGTAGGAGGCGAGGATTCTGGGTTGCGAGGTAGCTGCGAGGCTCGCTTGTAAGGCCATGGCTGTAGAAAAAGCCTGGATCGTCGTAAAATAGAATTGTTCGTAATGATGCGCCACAAGAGAATGATCATGGGGAGATTCCCTTCAGGATGGTGGCCGAGTTTGATTTTTGGTCTAGATTCTTCTGTGAAGGATAGGAATGGTCGAATGTGGTGACAAAAAAGCTATAGACGAGATCGAGATGGAAGAATTAGAAATAAGAGAAAAGAGAAAAGAGGAAGCTTCTAGGTAGATGAAGGAAGAGGCGAACCTTCGAAACTGGCAAGAGCAGAGGCGCCTACCTGTTGCATCCATGTGAACGTCGGGTTCAAAGCATGTCTTTCACGACTTGATAAACGTCGGCGCTTCCGGGTGAAAGAGCGATCTCATGTTGGAACAATACCCCTACTCGCACCGGGACAAGATCACATTCTACTACAATCCAATGGGATGGGCGAAACTTTGAAACAGCAGTATAGCTTGCTTGTCTTGGTTCCAAACAAATTCTTTGGTCTCTACCAACATGCACGCTTTCCAAGAGGCTTGCATTCAATGCAACGGCAAAGTTTCATGGAGCTGTCTGCTAGTTGGGGAAGACTTACAAACAAGGTCCAGTGTCACACTCGCTGAAGGTGATAACATTATTACGAGGTTAACTTTTACAAGTTGGAGCCATCAAACATTACGGGCAAACTTCACAGCAGGTACAGTAACAAGGTGCTAATCGATCTAGCCATACTCAATGGCCACTCGTATGATTGGGTATCAACCTAAATAACAACAACGAATCGTCCAACCAATATGGATGTTTTTCCCTTTCCCCTTTCCTAGTGTGATATTTACACAAACATTCTGCCCCTAGTACTGGGGGTTCTTCTTCCTCAAGAAGATGTGGAGGGCAACGTAAGAAGCCACACCAGTGAAGCACAATCCGCTAATGACACCAAAGCCCATGAGGTACTTGGGAGCGTCGCTCGAGGGGAAGAGATAAGCGCCGTAGATCTGGGCGAGGTTGCCCATGGCATTGACGAACGCAAGGGAGATGGCGCGGGTCTCGTTGGCCATGTCGCCGAAGCTGACGGAGGCGTACGACAGGGCCAGACCATTAGAGGCCCACAGACCGGAAGCCATGATGACCAAGAGGGCGTAGCGGGCCGTGAAGTTGTAGACGACGCAGATGATGATGGAGCAGATCATGGCAACGGCCATCCAGGCGCCGAGGATCAGGCCGCGCCACTTGCTGTGCTGGTCGGCGAAGTATCCGGTGATGGCCGTGCAGACGAAGGCGACGCCGAAGATGGGGATCGTCATGTACTGGGCGGCGGTCGAGGTGTAGCCGAGACCGCTGACGAGGGTGGGGTAGAAGTAGGACAGGGTGGAGGAACCGACGATGGCCTGCGATGGGGGTTTGTGTCAGTTTGCTGGCGTTCATAAATATCAAGCGTGATGGTGATTAGGGCTTACCATGTAACCAACGACAAAGAGCCAGGTCTTCCAGCTGACCATGGCAAGCTTGAAGGCGGCCCAGTGACCGAGGACGGGCTCCTCCTCGCCGCGCAGGGCCTGCTCGTCGCTCTGGAGTCTGCGGATGGCCAGGGCGCGCTCCCTCTCGTTGAACTTGAGCTTGGAGGTGTTGGCGGGGAAGTCGGGGAGGACGAAGAAGGCGATGCCGGCAGCGCCGACGGTGGCGGCGCCTTCGACGACGAACAGCCAACGCCATCCCGCGATGCCGTGAACCTCGTGCAGACCGCTCGTGATGGAACCGGCGAGGAGACCGCCGAACGCGCCGGAGAGAATGGCGGCGGAGATGTAGACGGCGAATCGCTTGGACTGTTCCTCCTTCTTGTACCAGGAGGAAAGGAGAAGCAGGACACCGGGAGCAAAACCGGACTCAAGGCCTTTGTGGAGTTGTGAGAAAAGGCAAGGATGCAAACGTGGGATGCGATGGTTTTTACTTACAACCCATGACAACACGGAAACCAACGAGGGCCTCGTAGGTTGGGCAGAAGGCCATTCCGATGGTGACCGAGCCCCACACCGCCATGATGCCGGGCAGGTAGAGACTGGGACGGGTGCGGGTGAGGAGCATGTTAGAGGGGACTTCGAAGAGGACGTATCCGATGAAGAAGACGATAAGGGCGATCGAGTATTTGCCAGAGTCGAGGCCGAGGTCCTTGTCCATGCCGGCGATCTTGGCGTTGCCGATGCTGAAGATTGGGGAATAGGGGTTAGCCTTGAGGTGACATCACGGCAGGCAGAGTCACAAAGTTGGATGGCAACTTACTTGGTTCGGTCCATGTAGGAAAGAAGGTACATGAGCCACATCAAGGGGAGGAGATACTGCTTAGGGTCAGCGTCGTGTAATCACCAAATGCCTTGATGCCGTCTTACCATGTCAATCTTCCTCACGAGCTTCTTCTCCTCGTCGCTGCCCGGGACATAATCGACGGCGGGCAGATCAACGTCCTTCCCGATGGCATGTTCATGCTGGTCGCTAGTCATATCGTTCTTGTCCATGATGGGCAAAATGCTTTTGGCGGAAGAAGAGACAGACAGCGATGTTGAGACGGGATGAATCGCAGACTTGTTGCAGTTGTCTGAGGAAGGAGAACCAACTTGCAAGACCCGGCAAGAACAAGGGAAAATAAGAAGGGTTGCTCAACCTGTCAACGAAGAACCAGGGGACTGGAAAGCAAGAGCCAATTGGGGCAACTCAAAGGTTCTTAAGTAGACGTGTTGCGGTGTGTGGTCTGGAGGTTGAGAGAGTTGCTCCTTGTGGCTCGGCCGAGGTGCCGTATTACGTACGGTGAGAGAGTGCGTGTGCGTGTGTGTAGGTAGTAGTGTGGGCGCGCGCGCGCCGTCGGATACAAGGAGCGGTCGTAACGACGAGGTTGCTGCCTTGGTCACAAACAAACGAGTCTCTACCTCTCTGTATCCGTACCTCCGTCGTGTTCACTCATTCCCCAGCTGCTGTGCGTGTGGCTTACTCTGCACATTGGTCACACATCCATTAATATGGAGTGCGGACAAGTGTTATGCCTGGGTTATGCGCGCTGATCGAACCACCACAACCCGAGTCGAGCATTTCCGGTGTGCAGAGGCGGCAGGCTTGGCGTAATTGGTAGAATTTCTCCCGTAAACTTCCCCCAGTCTGGGGGAAACTGGGGTTGAGATGAACTTCCGGAATCTTGCGGGGTCCGGGGAGGAGTCCCGGGTCATGGTCCTGTCGTAGCGGCAGGTTTTTTGGGCAAAGTTTTGGGGATGGCACGAGGTGTGAATGCCTGGTTGACCGCGTGTCGAGGATGGTTGTGGAAAACTGGGTCGTGAAGCCGGCGTGGACAAGAGTCATTTTCACCCCTTTGCCTATCCCGGGTTGAGCTGAAAGGCTGAGGTGCGCTAGATCAAAAGGGCGTGGAGTTGGCGCAGAGCCGCGTCTCGTGGACGTTCAACACCGCGGCTAAGTGGTGATGCGGGAGTTGACCGCGGCTCGCGGGCTTCACTTCTGCATTGACATGGATCTTGCTTGGAGAGGCGGCTGTTACACAGAAACCAACGCCGCACCTCTCAGCTGACCACCACGACCTCAATGCAGGCGGTGCGTCATTGGAAAAGGGCATTGCAGCAACTAATGCGGAACGCTGGTGAGGTATCTCTTTTTCTCTCTCTTTTCCCCGCCGTCTTGAGTCGCGCGTCGCGGGCCATCACGGCTTCGGGTCCTGCATCATGCACGGAGATGGGGGAGATGGGGCCCCCACGGGCGTAGCCGCCGACTGCGGATTGCGGACGACCTCCAGGAACCCCCGACTGCATACTTAAGGACGCGGAAAAGTTTCCCGTGATGTTTGAAGCCACAGCTACAGTCTCAGATCCAGCTTGGTTTGTACACACATACAATTATTACTTCTTTCAACGGACCATACAACAGAGATACAATAAGTCCGGTTTAACTTCGTTTGACCGTTCTTCTACACCACTTAGTCAAACACAAATCCCTTAATTACATACACGATGGCTCAGAACGGCAACGGCGAGGCCCCTCAGTTCCTCAGCACCATCCCCCAGGAGGGCCATGACTTCAAGATTTCCCTGAAGGACAAGGTCATCGCTAGTGAGTTTGCCGCTCTAAGAGGACATGAATCTAAGAGGAAAACTAACATGCCCGGAAAGTCTCTGGTGCCAACCAGGGTATCGGTCTGGGTATCGCCGAGGTCTGCCTCGTCAACGACGCCGCTGCCGTCTACAGCTTGGACATCTCCTCCCCTGGCGATGACTTCGCCGCCCTGAGCAAGCGCTTCCCCGGCAAGCTCGACTTCCAGAAGGCCGACGTCACCGACTACAAGAGCGTCGAGAGCGCGATCAACGCCATCGTCGATGCCAAGGGCCGTTTCGACGGCATGGTCGCCAACGCCGGCGCCACCAAGCACCAGCCCGCTCTGGACTTCACTCCTGAGCAGTTTGACTTCCTCTTCAAGCTCAACGTCACCGGCTCCTGGAACTGCGCCACCGCTGCCGCGAGGACGTTCATCAGACTCGGCTGCAAGGGCAGCATCGTCTTCACTGCTTCCATGACTTCCTACAGACCTAACCGCGTGAGTACCCTTCCACAAATTACCCCACGTGATGAACGAGTAACTGACGGATTATGAATAGGCCGCCCCCTCTGCGCCTTACGGTGCCACCAAGGGTGCCATCCGCAACATGACGCACACCCTGGCCATGGAGTGGGCTCAGCACGGCATCCGTGTCAACTCCATCTCCCCCGGCTTCGTCAAGACGGCTCTGACCTACTACGTCGAGACCTCGCCCGACTGGGACACCAAAATGAAGTACTACGGCGGTATGCCCCGCCTGGCTCTGCCCCAGGAGCTGGGAGGTGCCTACGTGTACCTGTTGAGCGAGACGGCTACTTACACCACTGGTATTGATATCCCTATTGCGGGTATTGTTGGCGCTTGGTAAAAGAAAAAGAAAAGTGGGAAACATGTGATACCAATTTCCTTGGGCGGGACGGCATAAAATTT